CCCCCCCCAGTTCCTCCCCCCCCCCGCTCCATCGGTGCTGCTGCTGCTGGGAGCCCGTTTTGGGGTGGTTTACTGCAAAAAAAGACTTCAGTGAGTGCGAGCGGAGGGGTCGGCCAGGGAGGGGGGGGGGATTTTCCACTTGGAGTTTAAGAAGAATAAACCCTTTTTCGTTCGTTTTGGGTTTTGGTTTTGGTTGTTTTTTTTCCCCGCAGAGCCGAGACCTTGTGCATGCGTGTAGAAAATTGTAAAATGTAAAATTGTTTTTTAATATATAAAAAGCTTGTTTTTACAGTTTGCAGTGGCTCGAAGCATTAGCAGTGGTAGGAAGTTTTGTTGGTTGTTTTGGTTTTTTTTTTTTTCATAGAGGAACTAAAATTGTACAAAAATTTTTTTTTTTTTTTATAAAATAAACCCATTTTGACCCATTTTTACTTTTTTTTTTTTTTTTTCCCCCCTTCGTCTTCCCTCACCCAGAGCTTTGGGGTGAGGCAACTGGTTTGGGTCCCAGCTCTGCTCCTGCCCGTACCCTGCCTGGTCTGGGCAGCTCAGAGGAGATGCTGCAGTGGCAGGATGCGACCTCAAGGGAGCACTCGGAGAAAAACCCGTCCTGCCCGTGGAGGCTGCTGGGTGCAGGACAAGGGCTTGGGGTTGGTGTGGCCCATGGGTTTAGGGGCCATGGGGCCAAGGGTTCGGGGTTTGAGGGGTCAAGGACTCGGGGTTTATGGGGGCCAAGGGTTCGGGGTTTGAGGGGCCAAGGACTCGGGGTTTATGGGGGCCAAGGGTTCAGGGTTTGAGGGGTCAAGGGCTTGGAGTTTAGGGGGGGCCATGGATTTGGGGTTTGGGGGGGCCAAGGGTTTGGGGTTTATAGGGCCAAGGATTTGGGGGCTTTGGGGCCAAGGGTTTGGGCTTTATGGAGCCGAGGGTTTGGGATCTGTGAGGCCGAGCTTTCGGGATTTATGGGACAAACAGCTTGGAGTCTAATGGGGCCAAGGGTTTGTGATTTGCGGGGCCAAGGTTTTGGGGTTTATAGGGCCAAGGGCTTGGAGTTTGTGGGGGCCAAGGATTTGGGGTCTGTGGGACAAAGGGTTTGGGGTTTGTGGGGCCGAGGTTTTGGGGTTATGGGGCCAAGGGTTTTGGATCTGTGAGGTCAGGGGGGTTGGAATTTATAGGGCCAAGGATTTGGAATTTATGGGGTCCAAGGGTTTGGGGGACCAAGGGATTTGGTGTTGATGGGGGTGAAGGGCTTGGGGTTTTATGGGGGGGCCACGGGCTTGGGATGAGCAGAGGACAGCAGGAGCTGCTGCTCTACCTCCCCTCAAGTGCTGACTGGAGAAATGCCCAACCCCCCCCTGGGGCAGGGGGGGGGCAAGTCCCAACCTCTTTGCTGGGGGAGCAAGTTGTCATCCTGTCCCCCCCGCGGGGCTGCAGAGCCGCAGAGCCACCGCCTGCCCCCGGGCTGCTGCCTGCAGTCACCT